CCCCCCCTTCTTTTCTTTTTACCTATGTCAAATTCTTGGGCAATGGCCTTTTATTTATGAGTTTATAGCTTATTTGCAATTTTTGTTTTTTGCTTTTACATTTTCTCAATTAAGTTAACTATAGTTTTCATTTTAAATGAGGCGGCCACAATGTTATATCTTTTCCAAACCCAAAAGTGACTGCAAGTTCGGTTGATATCCACAATCGCAAATTCCTCGTCCCTTATTTTTTTTTCCTTTTCGTTTTTCTATCGGGTGTTCGGTATCTGTAGTAGAGTCCGACTTATTTAAATTCACATAAAAAAATTCACTTTTGAGGTAAGACACCCCTAACAAAAACGAATTCATTAGATTCATACAACTCGAGCCCAAATATCTATATGATTAAAGATGAATACTTACTTCACTCTTACTTTTTATGTTCCCTCATTTCTATTTCTCCCACGGTTCTACCTCCCAATTAAATTATATGAACAAAAATAAAAATAGAGCGACTTTCAGTCTTTCACTTCTGAATTGCCAAACTTAAAATTCAAAGTGCCATTAAGCTAGAAGGATATTTGATCCCTTGTTGACAATTTCCGCTTTTTTGTTTTTGTGACTCAAGGGCAGATTGTTCGTTTAATACAATAATTTTCTTAGAAAGAAAAATTTCTCTTTTTTCAAAAGAATCAAGTATTCTTTTGAAAGAATTTGCTGAAAGTCAAACTGACATTGGACGAGGAATGACTTTCAAAGAGGAGGTCGTTGTCAAGTTGATAAGTTATGTGTCATTTTACCATATAGGAACATGATACAATGGTTTCTCCGTATTCATAGTAACAAGTCAAATGTCTGGTACAAGTTACAATGAAATCAGATAAGGGAACAGCAGAGGGAACAAATAGATATCAGTTCCTCCGGTCACAGTACAAGTCAACTCTTGCAACTGTTAAAGCTGATGTACTGCACAGGCAACAGTACAACAATATTGTTGAAGCATGCTATGTACCAGACACTCCCTTGCAGTATCTTTGATGACCTCACTTATATATTACCAACATGAGGCAAGAGATTACACACACTTGCAAAACCTAAATATCATTTACTCTCAAGTGTGCAGCCGCCTTCACTCTCCCAATGATATTGAAGAACAAAACAGCAACATAACAAAGCACCAGATCCCAACACTGATTACATCGTGTGTCCTTTAGTAATGTTGTGTCTTTGTTCATGCTATGCACTAGTAATTACTACTCAGCTTTTTAGAAGCATTTCGTAGGATATTTTGTAAACCATAAACTGTGTGATTGTTCTGACTAGAGTTAGTCAAGTGGTTAGCCTTGTAATAGAGTTATTACAAAGAGGCTCGAAATATAGGTATTGTGAGTAGGTGGGGGATTAAGAGTATAATTCCTAGATTATAATAGGTTGTAATCTAAAGTTTGCTCAATTAGTGAAGTTAAAATCATACTAGTGTAGGTCGTGATTTTTAATCCCGTGAGCTGTGAGTCTTTCATGTAAATATCTTGTGTTATTTACTTATTGTTGTGTTCAGTGGGAACGGATATAGAGTTGTGTTCTCTATACAGTTTGGTGAACTCTTAGTTTACATCAATTGGTATCAAAGCGGGTCCTTTCTATAAGGCTAACACCTAGAAATGATCTACATAGATGCTCCACCAAATTTTTAAGAAGGTCAATCAACCTACAGACCACGAAGATTCAATGGACAATACTATGGCTGGTGGAAGACAAGAATGCATGACTTTATGGCAGAAGATTTAGAGCTTTGGAATGTTATTTGTGATGGACCCTTTATCCCTATGAAAACCCTTGGCGAGACAACAGTCACAGTTACAAATACAAGGAAGGAAAATAATGATGTTGATCGTAAGGCCATCGAGAAAATTTCAAGGAAAAGAAGATCCTCGTTTGTAGTATTGAACTAGACGAGTACAACCGCATCTCAGCCTGTCAATCTGCCAAGGAGATTTAGGAGGTTCTCCAAACCGCACATGAGGGAACCACTCAAGTCAAGCATTTAAAAATCAGCATGCTTACTACTGAGTATGAACTCTTCAAGATGAAGGAGAATGAGTCCAATCAGGACATGCATACTCGCTCTGCCTCCATCATCAATGAGCTTCACTCCCTTGGAGAAATTATCCAAAGGAACAAACTGGTCAGAAAAATACTCAGCATGTTACCTGATTCCTGGGAGAGCAAAGTCAATGTTATAACGAAAGCCAAAGATCTACAGAAGCTGACAATTGATGAACTCATTGGAAATCTGGAACCTATGAAATGAAAAGAAGAAAGATCATGAAAGAAGAGAACCCAAAAAGGAGAATAACCTGGTTCTCAAGGCAGACAACAGTGACTCAAGTGGTGATGATGCTGACATGGCCTATCTTACACGGAGATTTCAGAAAATAGTTCGTATAAATGGAGAAATTCCTAAAAAGGTCAGCTCTAGCAGAAACACAAAAGGTTATGATTGTTGTCAAAAGTGCGGAAAGCCGGGACATTTCATCAAAGATTGCCCTCTCCACAAGCAGGGCCATTACAAACACAACACGAACAAGACGGCTAAGAAGAACCAGGTCCCTGACAGGAAGTTTAAGAGAAAAGATGTTGCTGATAATGCTGTGAAGCAAGCTCTGGCTGCGTGGGAAGATTCCTCTAGTGAATCTGAAGGTGATGATGAATAAGGAGACACCTCTATGATGATCGTTGAAAGTGAAGCTGCAGAATATGATTCCATATTTGCACTAATGGAAAAATCTGATGAGAATGAAGATAATGATGACGATGAGGTAAACTCTCTAGAAGTTCAAAGAAATATGAAGTCTTATTCTTAAAAGAAGCCGGTATCTATAGCAAATGTCTTAATTGATACTTACCACAATCTCATTAATGTTAAAACTATTTAACTTAGAAAACCGGAGAGATAGAACATGAAAGAGATGATTTGCTAGTTGTAGTTATTTATTTGAAGGAAACAGTAGAAAAGATAAAGAAAGAAATGGAAAAATGCATGAACTCCTCTAAAGGAAAGGAAGTGGCAAGTGAGGCACACCTTAAGCTTGAAAATAAACTCAAAAAGGTAAAATTGAGTCTTGTTGTTGAACTTGAAAGAAATAGATACCTTCAGGAATATGTACGTAGGGTTAAAAGTGATCTAGACAAATCTCTGAAGTGGACATGGTCCTTTGATACAATCACTTTCATGTATAAAAGTAATGGGGAAAACATGCAAGAAATCAGGTTCCACAAAGAAAAGACCCCCTATAACCCACATAGCAAGTATGTTACTGTGCCTGATAAATGGCTTTGTACTCACTGTGGTATAGCTGGTCATTTCAAAGATTCCTGTAAAGCAAAGTAGTCCCAACAGAAAAATAAAGTTTTTTTTGAAAAAGTATCTACTTTTAAGGAACCTGATTCTCTGAAAAAGAAATGTGTGATGCCTGCATGGACAAAAAGAAGTCTCATTCGTCCTTTCCCTCATTACAAGGGACACAAACTTGTTTGGATTCCTAAGTCTAATCAATGATTCTCTTGTGCAGGCAGTAATGAAGGGAATCAGTCAAAAATGATACATGGATAGTGGCTGCTCTAAACACATGACTGGAAGAATGGATGGTTTTCTTTCACTCAAGGCCCTGTAGGGTGGGGGTGTGTCCTTTGAAAATGGCAAAAGGGGATACATTCTGGGAGTTAGAAAGATTGGAAAAATACTCACTCACTCAACTGAAAATGTGTATTATATGAATAGCTTGAAATATAGCCTGATGAGTGTCTCTCAAATTTGCGACAAAGGAAATAAAGTGGAGTTCTTGTTAAAGTCTTGCACTGTCACCAATCTTATAACTGGTGAAGTGGTTCTGATTTCAAAAATATTTAAAAATATTTATGTTACAGACTTTGATTCTCTGAATGGTGGTGATCTTACATGCCTGAGTGTCGTTGATGATGATACTAGACTATGGCACAGAAGATTGGGACATGCAAGCTTTTCTCTGTTGAACAAGCTGATCAAGAAGGACCTGGTTTGTTGGTTGCCAAAGTCAATGTTCAAAGATCACAAGGTGTGTGATGCATGCGTGAAAGGGAATTAAGGGAGGTCCTCATTCAAGCCAAAGAAGGAAGTGAGCACCTCAAGGCCACTGGATCTTCTTCATATAGATTTGTGTAGACCTATGAGGATGCCTAGCAGAGGAGGAAAGAAGTACATCTTCGTTACTGTTGATGACTACTCCAGATTCACATGGAGCTTATTTCTCAAAACCAAGGATAAACCTTTCCAGTCTTTGCTGCCTTTGTGAGGCAGATTCAAGTGAAGATGGGCCATAATGTTATGTGCATTAGATCTGATCATGACACCGAGTTCGACAATGTAAAATTTGATGAATTTTGTGCTAAAAATGGTATAAGTTATAATTTTTTACTTCCCGAACACCCCAACAAAATGGTGTTGTAGAGAAAAAAATAAGACTCTTGAAGATATAGAAAGGACGATACTGATTGACAGTGGTGTACCAAAGGGTTTTTAGGCTAAAGCATTGAACATTGCTTGTTATTTGATTAACAGGTGCATGATCAGGTCCCCACTTAACAAGACCCCGTGTGAATTACTTAATGAGAGAAAACCAAAGCTGACTTACCTGAGAGCATTTGGATGCAAATATTTCATTCTCAATAATGGTAAGGAAACATTGGAAAAATTTGATACTCAAAGTGATGAAGGAATCTTTCTTGGCTACTCTTCACAAAGCAAAGCATACAAGGTCTACAACAAAAGGACTCAATGTGTAGAGGAAAGTATACATGTGATCTTTGGTGAATCTTACCACTCAAGTGGGAAAGATTCACATGATAAGGATGATCAAGATGGAGATTATTCAAAGGTCCCTGGAGAGATTATTGATATGGAAAATTGGTAGGCAAATCTGATGAGTCAAGTCAAGGAGACTAGTGAAGAAGATACAACAGAACTTCCAGCTGATTTGGAGGAACATGGTCCCTCTATCACATCAACTGAAGCTGACAATAGAGTTGTTGATGTTGTATTAGGCACTCCTGATGCATAACAAAGAAGTGGTATTCATACTTCCAACAATGCCTATGATGGGTCACATATTGAGAAACCTGGTACCTCCCACTCTGAAACCTAAGTGTCTAACTGGAAGCACAAAAGCTCACATCCTCTTCAAAATGTAATCACTCCTTTGGATTTAGGGATTCAGACTAGATCCAAGGTAAGAAACATATTTATTTTCTCAGCTTTCTTGTCTCAAATTGAGCTTAAAAATATCGAGGAAGTATTAAAAGATGCTGACTGGATTGCTGCTATGCAAGAGGAGCTCTATCAATTTGAGAGGAACAAAGTGTGGCACATGGTTCCTCGACCCTCAAATAGAATAGTTATTGAAACTAGGTGGTTGTTCAGAAAGAAGCTTGATGATTTTGGCTATACAACAAAAAAATAAAGCCAGGCTGGTGGTCCAAGGCTATAATCAAGAAGAAGAAGGAATTGACTATGATGGAACTTTTTCTCCAGTTGTAAGAATGGAAGCCATCAGAATTCTCATTGCTTTTGCATCTCATATGGAATTCAAATTGTCCTAAATGGATGTTAAGAGTGCATTTCTGAATGGATATTTGAAGGAGGAAGTCTTTGTCAAATAACCAGTTGGTTTTGAATGCCATGAATATCCTGAATATGTCTTCAAAATTGACAAGGCTTTATATGGATTAAAGCATGGCCCTCGTGTGTGGTATGAAAGATTGTCCAGGTTCCTTCTGGAGAATGGCTTCACTAGAGGGAAAATTGACAACACTCTTTTTCTGAAAAAAACGAGAGAGGAACCTGTTGATGACATCATCTTAGGTGCAACAAATGATACTTTGTGTGAGGAGTTTGCAAAGCTTATGGGAAGTGAGTTAGAGATGAGTATGATGGGGGAACTAAACTTCTTCCTTGGGCTACAAGTAAAGAAAACTTCTAAAGGAACTATGATAAGTCAACATAAGTAAATTAAAGAGCTTCTGAAAAGATTTGAGATGGAAATCTCAAAAACCATTGATACTCTCATTGCTACTGCCACTCATCTAGACATGGACGAACCTGGTTCCCCTGTAAATGAAACTATATATCATGGTATCATTGGATCACTCTTGTACCCAGCAGCCAACAGACCTGACATTGTGTTAAGTGTTGGATTATGTGCTAGATTCCAGTCAAGTCCTAAATAATCTCATTTGAAAGCTGCTAAGAGAATTCTGAGGTATCTCAAAGGATTGCAGGACCTGGTCCTCTATTATCCCTCAAAAAATAATTTTGACTTAATTGGGTATTATTATGCTGGTAATCTGGTGGATAGAAAGAGTACATCTGGAATGATATATTTTCTGGGGTCATGTTTGATTTCATGGGGTACAAAGAAATAGAACTATGTGGCCCTCTCTACTGCAGAAGCTGAATATGTGGCAGTTGCCTCCTGTTGTGCCCAACTGTTGTGGATCAAGCAACAACTAGAAGACTTTGGTGTATTCTCTAATTGTGTGCCACTTTTGTATGATAACACAAGTGCTCTTAATTTGGCAAAGAACCCAGTTCAACATAAGAGGACAAAGCATATTGATATGCGACATCATTTCCTAAGGGACAATGTTGAAAAAAGACTCATCTGTATGAAGTTTTGCAAAATAGAGGACCATGTAGCAGATATCTTCACCAAAGTACTAATAAGAGAGCATTTTGAAAGAAACCGACTGGAGTTGGGGTTGATCAAGTTGAACTGAGAACCTAGTTCCTCGATGATTGGCTATGAAAGGATGGTAAGGTGAATTACTAAAACATATTTTCTGGCAATTTCTAACTCAATTCTATATTGTTGTAGGTAAACACATATGGAAACTACAGGACAAACAAGTAGTTAATGACATTGCATATTTTTGGAAGGATTATGCTCTTATTTTCAAAATTTATTAGGGAACCTGGTTCCCATGACTCAGGTTAGTAGTTCTCCTACACATATGCATTTTTGAACTGCTAGTGTGCCCTGTCATTAATTGCCTCCGCCTTTTCCCATATCTTTTAAGCACAAATGACACACCCGTTACAAACTGACCCGTCTAACCAGATCATTAATCATACCTAATTGTAATTCGTCCCTCTAAATATCCTAAAAAGGTAGTATCTCTCTCATAACTATCTACATCAAACACTCCTCTTCTCCAAAAACCCTCTTCTTGTGTCTTCATTCTCTAAAAATCGACATGTCTTCACCAAAATCCGAAGTCCCTGCTGTGTCTTCATCTCATGAAGCACAGCCATCCAGATTGGAACCCCAATCTTCACCCACTGAAGCCCTAATTTCCAAACAACCACCATCCACAGTCTCCTCCCCTATGCCTGATCTGTGCCAAAACTACACCACAATTGAGTAGCGATGCGGTCGATGCAATAATAAACCCAACAAAGGTCGGGATCAAATTCACAGAGAGTTAGAATATAGGATTAGGTGTATATCTAAGTTAATTACAAGTTTTGGCTTTAATTGCACTTCCACAAATTTGATTGGTTTTTCTACTTCAACTTTACTCTAAAGATTGCAATTAAGGACAATATTTTTGTTATTGTTTTTCAAATGTTTAAAGAGACTAGGGTAGTGACTTATACCTAGGTGGATATCTAACGGGTAGAAAAATCTAGGGCAAGCTTGATTAGTTGGTATTGTAATATAGCAATCACACCCGGGTACTCACTCTATACCTCTCGGTAGTTTGAGTGATTTTTCCCAATTTGGCTTTCTCAAGACCAAATGGGCATTCATGCAAATCAAGTGATATTAGCTCAAGTTAGGTGTTACAATCTCTAGGTTCAACCCTTTTATTGGGGCTATCAATTTCTTCAGTTCACCCCAATTCATTGTTAGCCTAGTTTTCCTAGACTTAGTCCCTCTTTCTCAAATAGAGACTAAGTCATAATGCATGAATCAATGTTTGCAACCATTAATTCTTGAGTTCTAGCAAGAACTAGGCTGAATATCACTAACACATTCACATTCAAGCCCTAAAATCAATTACCTATTAAATACCCACACTAGGGTTGGGTCACAACCCTAGCTATGGGTTTAGCTACTCATGGAAATAACATAATTAAAGATGAAATGAAGATAAAATTCATGATATTAATTTATGGAATGAAAATCTAATGTTAAAAAGTGAATCTACTACAAAATATCCAAAAACAGAAAAGTCAGCCATCTACAAAACATAACATAAACTGACATACCCTAAAAATGATAAAAAGTTCTATTTATACTAAGATGAAAATATCGGACAAAAATACCCCTGCGGAGGTTGTGCGGCCGTGTAATTCTGAGTGCGGCCGCACTCTTGCTTTTGCGGTCGCATAATTCTGATGCGGGCCGCGTTCTTCTCTTTTGGATCTGGGTTGAGCTGAACTTTCTCGGACCGCGTAATTCTAAGAGTGGCCGCGTTCCAGATTATGTGGCCACATAAAAGTGATGCGGTCCACGTTCTTGAGTTTGGCTTGAAATTAACTCTCTGATTCTTCATCTTGCGGACCGCATAATTTCAATCGCGGCCGCGCAAGGGACTTCCATGGCCGCATAATTCTAGTGCGGTCCGCACTTCTCTCTTTTGCTCAAGTTGTGAGCTCTCTGAATCCCAGTCATCACGGTCCGCATAATTTCAATCGCAGCCGCATATTTCTGGTGCGGTCCACGCTCATCACTTAGCCCAAAATCATACTCTCTGGATCTCCCTCTTGCGGGCCGCATAATTTTGATCGCGGTCGCGTCATAGCTTTCGCGGCCGCACAATATTTGTGCGGTCCGCGCTTCAGACCTCTTTGCCCACCCTTGGATTTTGTTCAACTTTTGACTCCTTTGTGAATTGATTTTGATTCCTTTGGCTCATTTTGAACAATTCCTGCAAGCAAGCATATTTCATTAGTTTTCGGGAATACCTTCAAGCAATTTTGGCCTAAAATACAAGTAAAAGAGAGCAAATAATAGGTTAAAATCATACTTAATAACGCCATCCAGTTCTGGTACCCATCGCAACCGAAAAAGCCAAAATCCTAAAACTTTTGTTGTCTCTCCCTCACTATCTGCTGCCACATAGAAAGTGGAATCAAAAGGACCAACGTCTACCTCTCGCTTTCTCCAAACTACAGAAGAAATAGTGGAATGAGATGAAGGTGTAGAAGTCTCCAGTCAACGTGTTGCGGAAGAACTTGTGGACAAAATGACTGTTACTGGTCAGGGTGGTGGTGCATCAGTATCTGGTGTCTTTGAAACCCCAATTGCTCAGGGGTTTGATCTGAATGCCTTGTCATCATCAGGTAATGTTCCACCCTCTTCTACTGGTATTGCATTGATGGTTATTGGGGGTGAGATAGATCAAATTTGTTTATCTGTTGTTGTTGAGGAAAGTCTTGTTGGGGATTCTTTATCTGGTGATGTGGGTACTGGGACTCATGGGAAAAAACGAGGGAATGGGGACCAGGTGCCTCAAAGTGACCAGGTACCGGTCAGTCTACATGGGATCTTACAGAGGGACTTGGTCCCTCTGCCCAAGAGGAGTTCTCAGCTCCTACTTGGTATAAAACTCCAAGCTCTACTACACAGCCCATGGGTAGTACCGACCCTACCTCTTCCCTTCACCTTGTTGCAGCCCCTTTAGAGGTTGTGTACCCTGAGATAAAGTCGGTGTCCGAAGGAGATGCTGATCATAGTGAGGAGGACTTCAAAAATCTATCTGTAGCCCACTTTATTGCTGCTAGGAGTGGTGGGACAGTCACATAAGAGTCTGTTCCTAAATGACCCACCACTAGGCAGCAAAAAAGGTTTCTCTCGCGAGTGCATTAATAGAGAATAAGGAGAAAAGGAAAAGGAGAAGGCTTATGAAAAGTAGACTGGTTGACGAGGAGGATATACTTCCGAAAAATATTGTGGAAATTAAGGATGAGGAGACGAATCAGGAACTTGCTCCTCTTGTTAGGAAAGCATCTAAGAACAATGTTTCTGTAAAACAAAAGAAGGTCCTATATGCAAAGGATACTGAAGTTGGTAGTGAAGAAAGAGTTGAGAAGGAGAAGTCAGTTGAGAAGGAGAAAATTGCTGAGAAAAAGAAGCCTCTCAGAAAGAGGCCAAGCAACAGTGAGGAACCTAGTTCCTCAAAGAAGGCAAGAGTAGATGTGTCTGAGCTTGAAAGGAAAGATAAATTAAAAAAGTAAAAAAGTTCTGTGGGGTAGAGTTTTTGATACTGACATTCTTGATCAGGCTGGAATGAGGCAATTGGTAGAAATCTGTGACTTCCACAAGTGGGCTCATTTCTTTACAATTCAGAGTCCAAAAGTGTATGAGAAGGAGGTTCGCAATTTTTATGCTGACTTGATTATAGTAGAGAGTGATACAATCTATTTGAAGATCAATGGGATAGATTTCGCGATGGATGAGGTTGTGCTTGGAGAAATTCTTGGGGTGCCTACTGAAGGGCTCTCAACTGCGGAGGGAACATATTCCCCAGAGTTTAGGAAGATAATCCTCAAGCCTCAAGTTGTTCAACAAGGGGAACGAGTGCACAAGAAGGCATTGCTTCTAGAATACCAACTATTGTTTGAGTTGGTGAACAAGGTCTTGCTCCCAAGAGATGAAAGGAGATCCATTGCCTCTATAAAGGACCTGGTTCTTTTGGAGGCACTAGACGCCTACACTCCCATCAATTTGCTTGGAATTTTGATTGAACACATGAAGAAAGTGGCAGACTTCATGGATAGAAATCTTGGGTTGCCATATGGGTTCCTGCTCACAAAAGTCTTTGAACGATTTGCGGTCCCCTTTGGGAGAGCAGCTGTGGGAACTCGTAAATAAATTTTCTCAATGACCACCTTAGAGTAATGCGGGTGTGTAGAAAAAAGAGGTATAGGCAGTAGTTCCACAATCTCTCAATTTATCGATGCTCAAAATGCTGCTAATGAGGAAATCAGGAAGTTGAAGACCCAGAATGCCATTCTTGAGTCTAAGTTCAGACATGCCAGCAAGGAACTTGGTTCCAGTAGTGCTCAGGGAGCAGAAGTTGTCCGCTTGAAGGCTGAAAATACAGAGTTGAGGAAACGGGTGGAGAACTTGAAAGAGCAGTTGATCAACGATCAAAGGGCTGCTAATGCTCGCATTGATAGTCTCCTCAAGGCCCTTGCTCCTTAGTAATTCCCTTTCTCA